ATATTTGTTTGTTTCATTATTTTACAGCTTCATAATCTTTTTTTGTTTCTTCACTTTGTCAGTTTCAATATTTTTCTTTCAATTTCAAACCAAAACTTCTCTTGAACAAACTTTATGTTTCCAATTTAGCTCCATCAGTTTCCCTGAAAACACATTTTGCAGCTTTCACATCAAATCACGTCTGAGCAGTCGAGACGAGGAGCTCGCATCAAATTAAAATAAACTTTATTACAACAAAAACAAAAGGCTGACGTTGCAAACTTACACAAACACCGAACAGAAATCAGTGGGAGGCTCACGACCGAGGAGGAACAAAACCTGAGGATTTTATAGACAGGCGCTAATGAGCAAAGAGGAAACACCTGGGGCAAAATGATAACTGAGAACAGGTGAGAGTGGGCGGAGCTAGAGCTGAGGAGCCAAAACTGTAACAGAGGAAGTGGATCTATAAAATAACACGAAAAGGGATCAAAAATAAAGACCCTTAACAGCATGAAACAATAGAAATGTGTTCCGCCTCGAGGGAAAGTAGAGCCACAGCAAGATGACGAGTAAAACAAGAGTTACAGTTTTGTTCTCATAAAAAATGCCTGAAAGTAAATCTGTTTACACCACTGCTGCTTTATGATTTAACGTCTTCATGAGGCCGTGTGGCAGAAAAGAAAAAACACTCCGCAGAATATAACCTGGCAGTTTAATCTGCTCAGGGGGGAAAACACAGAGGAGGTTTTTAACGCAGCAACCCTCTGTAATGAAAAATGTTTTATAAAAAATAAATAACAGCTCAGATTTTAAACCATAATCGACATAATCGTGTTAGGAGATGGAAGTTTTTAGTAAAAAGAGATGCTTTTATTTTTTGCACTCGTCTTTTAAACAGTTAATATCTTACCTGCTGTAGATAGTGTTTTAAAATCCACTCTGCATTTACGTTGATGTTCAAGCAAATGCTTTTATTTTGTAAACCTCTACATTGCAGACACTTAAGCGTTACATGATATTCTGACAGAAAAACGAGATTTTCTATGGACCGGAAGAGCTACAGCTAGCTGCTGCTGCTACTTCCTGTTGCAGATAACCACAGAATTTTATGTAAATAAGTAGGTAATGTGAAAAATAAAAGCGTTTACAACAGATGCTAAAGGATTTTAAGATCCATTTTGGTCTTGGCTCGGCTTAGACTAGCCATTAGCTCATCATTAGCCTTAAAAACCAAACATTTTTGAGTCATTTTGACCCAAGGGCAGCAGGAGGGTTCATTCAATCAATCAAACTTTATCTATAAAGCACATTTCATACATGAAAGGTAACAAAAACTAAATAAACTTGTTGGCGGATTGATGGAACATAATTCAATTACTGATAAAACACCAGAGGTTTGGTTTTAAAATAAAAAATATATATGAGTCAAAACAGCATGACTTTTCTATTCTAAAAATTTGTAAAACCAAGACACTAAAAAAGAAAATAAGAAATTTAAAATAAAATAAAGTTACTGTTTAGAAAAGTACTTAAGTCAAAATAAACTACATCGAAAAACAATTCAGTTTAGATAAAGTATATTGACGTTAAAGGCATATTTTGTTTTGAACTTGGCTAAGTGAAACAGGATGTGACATCAGAGAGGAACTCTTTAAGAAAAGAAATATTTCAAATAATTGAAACGTTATTTGAACTCTGATTCTTCTTCATCTCTCTGATCCTGAATTAAAAATAATCTAAAGAAACATCAGACTCTGTTGTTAGTTATTGCAGCAAGGCTCTGTTTACATTCAGACATTCCCCTTTGACATCACTTCCTGTAACTTCACATGCAAATATCTCAACAAACGTTCATCTCAGCTCTGTGAAATCTTTTATGCAACATGTTATCAGTGTTATCTTTCCAAAAACGTATTCATATGTATTTCCAAAATTTGATGCGACAAGTCCTTTAAGGTTTCAGGATCTGTGTTTGTGTGGTCTCCTCTCAGCTCCACCTGTAAACCTCAGAGTTTGACATTCAGCTAAAACACGTCGTGGTAACTCAACATAAAATGATCTGAGTGTAAATCTCTGGTGGACCATATGTAGCCACTTTGTAGATTTCTTTAAGTTTCTGTTTAAAGAATCCTGATCCAGGTGAAAAAACAGCGTCGAACTGAAACCCGATCAGATTTTGTGACTTTTAAATCAATTCTTTGTGGGATTGAAACTTCAAAGGCACTTCCAGGATGTCTAATTTAAACCAGAGCCCCCTCCAGGATTACTCTCTGAGAATAAATCACAAAAGGTGGGACTGCAGAGAATAACTCCCAACTACAAAAGGACAAATCGCATCTTCTCCTTCCAACTTTTCGCTGCTTCTTCTTCAAAAATCCTCCTGCAGCCCCCCGACGGTCGATAACATTTGAACATTTATGACCCCCGCTCCTCCGCCTGGCAGCGCCAAACAAGCTCTCCTTTCAAAGGGAAGGAGGCGACGGCGCTTTATGAAAGTTTGAATTTTATTGAGGCAGGAGCTGCCAAGCAGATTGGATTCACGCCGAGATGAAGAGAGAGGCGGGCGGCTAATGATTCCAGCTGAACGTAAGCAGAGAAAAGTTTTCAGCTTCTCTCTCTCTCCACATGTGACCGGGCTTTAACATGTTCTGGGAACTGAACGGGTCGGTTCGGTCACAGCCGCTCAGATCTGCTTCAGGTCCAGCCCAGAACCGGTCTGAGGGGCTCGCAGCTCCTCAGAGGGGGGAGCCGCTTGATTTGATGCAGAAAGATGAAAATATTACAGAAAGATGCACATCAGGTCAAAAATCAGACACACGCGGCGGCTTCTGAACCAGATTATAATCTGAATCAGAGGGGAGATTATGCTGCTCCTTATTTCAACTTAATTCCCTCTTTGAGTCCTCAAAGTGACTTTGAAGATTTGCAGATCAAGAGATGTGAAGACTTTTCATTAATTGAGTATTTCTTTTTTTTATTTGAGAGGCAGCTTGTTTCAAACAGCATATCAGAGGGTAGATTACACGAAAAAACCCCAACAGCTCAGATCAGGGGTGTCACTAGGTTTTAAGGACAAGGGGGGCCTTAGCCCCCAGGAGACGCATAGAATTTTTGTATACTACATATTTGTAC